CAGCACATCGTCTGCGTCCCTGGGCTTCGAGAAAGTGACGATGCGGGCGGGTCGATCAATCTTGGCGTAGATGGTCTTTGCAGACACCAGCTCGCTAATGTTCTTCTCCGTCTCATCCTCGGTCAGATCTAGCAGCTCTGTCAAGCGTGGGATCTGAATACGTGTGTAGTACTTGGCCACGACGCGAACGTTGTGCTCGATGACACGCTTGCGGAGATCCTGCCACCTCTGGAATGCCTTCGGGTCATCCGAGTCGTCCTTCTCCGCGTCGAATACATCAGTCTCCGTGAGGTGAGGCCCGAACTGCTTCGCAACCATGGGCCACCTCATCAACTCAGGCACAGTGAAGAGCTTAACTAATTGTGCGTCTTGTGGGATCTGAGAGTTGCGCGAGTCGCGCTGGATGCGGTGGATGAGATCGGACTGTTCGTTGTCGTACGGTGCGAGGATGATGAAGTAGATGACGCGCTGGAGGATCTGCAGTTATGTTAGTAAGAGCTGCAAATGCGACCAGGCCTCTGAACATACTGCTCGAAGCTTGTTGGGGTCCTCCTCCACAGCCTCGGTATCCAGTACTTGTCGGTAGTGCTTGCAGACGTCCAGGTACTTGTTGTCGTGCTTGGCCAGGGTAATCTGCTGCTCGTAGTACCTGAGCTTCAGGTCCGTTACATCGTCCTCAGGCTCAATGGGCGGGTCGTCGGCGCTCCGGTTCTTCTCCTTCTCTTCCCGCTCCTTCTGGTCCTTCTCCAGCTGCTCGGGGGTCTTCTTCGGTCTCCGCGCAAAGTACCGTGTGCTGATCTTCCTGCTCAGAATACCGGCCTGTGTCCAGTCGCCCTTTTGTATGCATAGCGCCACTTGTTGTAGGATGAACTCGGTCTTCTCGCGACGGGTCATGGAACCAAAGGTCTCGACTTGCAGCTCGCAAAGGATGTCCGTCGCGGAATCGATGTCGCCTTGCTCCTTCTTGATGTTGGACAAGATGCGGGTTACTCGGGCACGCTCGACTTCGACGAAGATCTACCATCGTGTCAGCAACAGCCTGCATGTTGTTCGTTGGGGTCGCCTACCTTGCCCTCTGTGACTGTCCGTAGCGTCTCGATGACGGACAGCTTTGTCTCTAGGTTTGGAGTCTCATCCAGAAATCCCATGACTGTCTGCACCATCTTGGTGGTGGCCTGCTTCAGCTGTCCATGCTTCTTGGAGAGGAGCAGGACCTGCTCGTTCATCAAGTTCCAGTCCTTCGCATTCTTTGCTATTGTGACGATGGCGATTATGACGCGGGAAGTCGAGGCGAGATCTGAGGCCTGGGAATAGTCAGAATGTGATTATGCGCAAGGAATACGTGGAGGCGTGCCTGACGGGTCTGCTTCTCGAGCGTGAGCAGCTTGTCGATTCCAGCTTGCGGATTGCTCTAATCAACTATATTAGCTTCGCTTCAACTTTGATAGCCATCAGACATACAGAAGCTAGCTTCTCCGCCTCCGGGATAGCCGCATCGACCTCCTTGGTAAAGTCCTTGTCGGCCTTGAGCACTTCTCCGCTAGACATGGTGGCGGGGTCGTGGGGTTTATCTGTCAGGTGTCGGGGTATTTGCTATCTCCCAGGTGAAGTAGAGACAGCGAGTACTAGTATCGAATGCGAGAGGGGAAGGCGTGGGATGGGGCGGCGACGTTGTTTGGTCGTGTTGCGGCTCGTCAGTGATGTAGAGATCCACACTCCGAGCTGGGGCGCTTTGGCCACCGCCTTGCGCTAGGTCCAAACATCCGCCGCCGACGAGCCTCATCTTGGAGCAGGCGCGTCTCTTACATCACACCTGCATCGTCCCGTGCGCGAAGCATGCCAGACTCTCTTCGATCATTATACGACGTCTGATAGCTATTTCAAGTGATGACGACAGCTTGCTGAACTTCAACAAGCCCATTCGCAACTTACAAAGTGTAACCTTCTAAAATCTGCGTCCCGATTGGAAACTCCGTAACCCGTTTTCCAGAGGATTTTCGTTCAAGGCCATGGCTTGGAGATTGATCAAGACCTGTAGGGTTGGTTACCTGACTCACCTGGAGCCAGCTCTCAAACAGCTCAATAACACTAGTACTTTGTTGTATAACTGCAACATCGTAGCTTAGGCACTTTGCGCACTCTAATCAAATAAGAGTTGAACTTTCGATCATGAATAGTACTCCTAACGCCGCTCTTCCACATACGTGTGTATAAATAGCTTTCCAGTCGGCTTCCCAGTATTTAACGCTTGCAGCGGTCAAAGGAGCCTTTCCTACAGGCGCGATCTCTTCACGTGGTCTTCCTCATCCACCTCCTCGCACTCAACAAACTCCTCATGACTTCGGCGACGAGGAGTTACCTGGAGATCCGGCTCGGCCAGCGATACCACATCCACATCATCCATATCTCGCATCGCCTCTTCCACTTCATCGTCATCAAACTCATCAGAACTAGTGTCAGAGACTGTGTCGCCCTCTTCGTCCACTTCACCCCGGCCTGGCCAACTAAACATAAACACCGGTCGTTGGAAATTCACCTCCCCTGTTTGACCCGGCAGCCGCTTTCCACCCACGGTGCTCCTACCCACAACCATCATGAGATCTTCCTCTCCATCTCCTTCATCAGTAGTGTCGCTCCACTCACTTTCCGTCCCCTCATCTTCCGAGTCTAGATCCACGTCTGTGAAACCCGCGAAACGACCTTTGTTCATGTCTTCATCCGTTTGAGGAGTTTCATCTTGAGCCGCTGTCAATATTTTCAGCTCTTCTTCTTCGGCGACTCCAAACTCGTCGTATGCGGAGTTGTTCGCAAAGCTCGTATCGACCTTTGTACTACCGTATGGACTTGCGTGTTTGCCTTTCTCGTAGGACTTAGAAGTGCGATTATAGCACAACGACCGTCGGGTGGAGGGAGAGGGGAGGTCGTCCGGAAAGTATACGCCGATCATGGGAGTGGATGGTACAAAGGAAGAGGACCGACTTTGGGGTGGAGAGGATGGCGGTGGGGGAGAAGATGTGTAGACGGTCGAATTGGCGGAAGTCTTACTTCGGGGAGAGGCGGTCGGAGAGTCCGCTCGGGCGGCTGCGCGGTCGGCAGGCGGCGAGTCTGAATGATCTCTGAGGTAGTAGTCTGCGGTACTGTCGTCTGCCTCCTCTGTCCTATCGGAAGACCCCTTGGAGTACCGTAACGTTTCTGACTCCGTCCCAGGCGTCTCAGGCAGAGAACACGGCAGTGCATCGCTGCTAACAGAGTCGTCTCGTAGTTTCTTCCCCTCGCCGCGTTTTCTCAAATGCCTCGTCGGGACGAAGACATCACTCCACCCCTCCCCAAGAAATGGACTCTGCCCCGCCAGCTCCAGCGCTTCAATACAACTACTCGCCTCCGTCACCGCCACCGGAATCGCAAGACCATTCCGTCTAGAGTCCTCCTCCCACGCCCTCTCTCCCATCGCGAAATCCTCATACGTTCCAACCAAATTCGCCCACCTCTTTTTCTCCACAATCCACAACCCCTTCGCCGCAAGATATATCGCATACTCTTCAGGGTCAATAATATGGACCCCCGCTTCGTTTCGACCTGGCCTATAAGGTCCACCGACGATGCGCCAGACATGCGCGATGCGTTCGAGAGAAGCGAGACATTGTTTCATGATGCAGACTGGACAAATTTCGATTTTGACGCATGGGTTACCGGGGTGGATGGTGTGTTTGCAGACGCGCGCGACGAGGAGGTCCGATGGTCCTCTCTCTGCCTCTTCGTCGTCGACGTCCGTGAAGATGTGGGACAGGTCTTCGTCACGACCGTGGAAATGCTCTTTAACGCGCGGTGTGTTCATAAACGCTTTGAAGACTGGCGGACTGGGTATACCGCCGATGCTTTCTTGCTGAACTGCGTATACGGTCTTTTTCCATGCTTGCCAGGTCGGGTAGAGCGCCTGTTGTTCGGGGTCGTCGATGTTGGCTTGCCAGTTGACAAAATGAGGGTAAAGTCCCGGTCCAAGTATTAAAGCGCTGGCTCTGCTGTCGGTAAGCGGGCGGGTTATCGCATTGGCGGAGTGAAGGGCGCTGGCGGTGGCGATCGGGATCGGCGCCATAATGATATGATATGTTTGTTTCGGATGTACGACATGTGAAGTGGGGAAGCAAGTGCGTCGGTAAAGTTGTTCAGTTAGGCGCGATCGATGTGAGTCAGGTAATAGGGTAGTCAGTGGTTCTTTCACTGAGTCGTCCTGAAGGTACGTGCAGAATGTACCTGCGTACTCTCACCTGGCGGTAGGATGCAACCCAATATTCTTTTCGGATATTACGTTCTGTATGAAGATATATAGAGTTTGCACAAGCTCTCCATGTGCAGGACCTTGTTGTACCATGGTTCGTGATGACTTGTAGCGTTGAGCCACTCACGGTTGTCCCACATCGAACGAGGACCAAATGAAAGCAATTCGTCGAATGAGAGAAACCATGACTGCAACATGCACGACGCGTAAAATAAATGCCTGTTGAATTACGGTAGACGCGGCTGGTTCACATTTGTCATAGTCTAATGCGTTTCTAACTGCTGCGTACAAGACACTGCGACGAGGTTATGCATTTGGAGAATACACATCATCACTGACACCAAGCCCTCAAGCTAGGTGATGATTCACAATATGGAAACGAATCACAAAGTCCGAAAGATTGATTAAATTACTTGCTTTGCTGAGATTGGGAAAAGTGTGGACTTTTGAAGCTAGGGGTAGATGTCCATGTGGCGGTATCGAAGTAGAACGAAAGAAGAACACCTGTCCTCCTCGAGATGGCAAGCCAATTAATGAACCTCCTGCGATGACGAAAGAGAAGACCTGAAGAGACGTGGAGTCCGCCTGATTCTCATGCGCCACTCTGAAAAGGCATACAGACCCGACCTGTGATGTCCTGTGCGTATCCGCTATATTGCGGCACGTTGTTGTCCCTCTTACATAGCCCGCTCAGAAAGAAAGCAACAAAACGACGTCCGTACAGCTACGCATATGATCTCGAAAATACCCTCATGCGCGGCATGGCGTGGCGGCGCAGAGGGAGAGGGTACGGCATGCCGGGAATATAGCGATCGATTGTGACCCAGCGATCGGCTGGCACGTATCGATCGAGCTTCAGCCGTCTGCGTGAGCGTCCTCGTTCATCCACGACCCGGTTGATCTGCCCTTGTGCCAGCCAGATGGCTTCCTTTCGTTCCACCGTCAAGGTGATGTCGCGTGGGAGCCTTCGTAGAATCCATACGTGACGACCCTGGCCGTCCATAGCGGCGTCGATGTCTCGCTGAAGGATGAAGAGTCGGTTGACGGAGTTTGGGTGGATTGTTTGGCCGGGGTAGGTGCATAGTCTGATCAGGTCGATGATGCTGTTTCGCTTCGGCGCGGCCCATGGCTGACGCGCGGGAGAGCTTGAGTACTGGTATGACGAGGATCCGGTTGAAGTGTCGTAGGCGAAGTTGCGCGGCGCGTCTTGGGAACCATCGATAGACTCGCTCTTGATGAAGACGAGGGCTTCTTCACGGGCTTCTTCGCGGGCCTTCCGGGCTTTGCGCTGCCTCTTGGCTGCTCTCTTGCTTGTCATCGTAGTCCGTTGCTTGGGTATTCTTACTTCTCTGGTCTGCTGCTGCTTGTCTTCTTCTAAGAACTGTTGTTGAAGTCTGGTTTCGAGTAGATGTGGGCGAGACACTGAGGTGAGTGGTGATGCGGTGAAAAGAGCAGGTGGTGAGTTGTTGATGCTGCTTTCCGATGCTACTTCCGCAGGAAGGCGCGCTCCTGAGGCATCCATCCCAACTGGTAATGGCAGTGTGTTGGCGTTCTCCTCTGGGTAGGTGCATTCTACTGCTTCAGCAGCACCAGCATCGCTCCTCGCGCGTTGAAGTCTTTCGTATTTTAGTTGCGCTTTCGTCCGCCTCCTCCTTGGTTTCTTGTCCTTTCCTCGACCACATGGCGCCGCATTTCCGCCTGCCTTCTTCTGTGCGGTAGGTGCACTTCGGGTGACTCTTGCAGCGATTGGTACTTTCTGCGCGGTAGTTGTACTTCGGGTGACTCTTGCAGCAATTGGTACTTTCTGTGCGGCAGTTGCACTTCGAGTGATTCTTGCAGCGAGTGGGATCTTCTCCGCCTTTGGCTTCGAGACGTGGCCATTCGGAGCTGTCTGTGAGGAAGTAGGCATCGCCTTCGTTTGACTTCGCGTGGGTTGCTCTCGCCGCAGCCAGTGTAGAATGTTGCCGTCCTTCATGTCGTTTTGGTAAAGTAGGTTGTTGAAGTGGGGCGTTTGAAAAATTGCCGTAAGTCACCCAAATTTTCTTATCGACAGTAAGTTCCTGTCGACTGAAATCCTTCTATCTCATCCAGTGTTTGAGGCGACGCGCTGTCCCTGGGGATACGCGTTGAGAGGTTCACGTGGTAGACACGCTAGCGAGTCAGGACGAGAAGGAACGAGGGGCACGAGGTGGCTGGGAAATGAGCAATTGAACAGATGTTCGATATGAAATCTAAAAGCGAGAATTCTTCTTTATGAATGTATGAACGAGATCTCCTCTCGGGCTCTGCGGACGCAGGCTTATCAATACATACGCTGAGCCGCGTTGGCGCATTGAAACCCCGCGCAGCTCATCGCGAGATATCGCTGTGAGCAACCCTGGAAACTACAAGCGTCTCCTCGTCGTTTCTTTTTCTCAGCTGAGCCCAAGGTTATCTCCACGCTCCTCGATCATCAGGTCCAGCTTCGATTGCGATTGAAATTGATGGCATTAGTCGTATGTTGTGTGTTCGTTCGGACTTCTTGCAACCTTGCTCAGGTGCCGTGGGTGCTGGTGAGGAGATGCGCGATGCCGTTTTCAGTTACGGCACGTTCGGTCCCACCCCTTGCTGCATCAACTCCATATCAGCACCTTCTTTGTCTTTCGCGTTCGAGCCCGAGGGGTCTTTTCGCGAGGGAACTCTGGTTGTGTATATTGGCGGAGAGATATTCGGTAACAGTGGCTCCCACCGGCACCTCATACAAGGGAGAGACTAAACACCTGGAGCCTACGTTAACGTCAGGCCACCTGCTTTGCATGTTTTAATCATGAAGGCTATAGGGTGTTCAGTCCTTCCCTTGTATGAGGTGCCGGTGCAACGCATGCTTCGAGTTGATAGCGGACTGCTCAGGAGGTTCCGTTCTGTCTTCATTCCGTGCTTGCAACAACAAAAAGATCCCCCTCCGTACCTAGGCAGGTGTGCGACCAATCCGTGCCCAGGTGCCATCATATCCCATGTTCCTCATCCCTCAACTTCCAACCCGACGTCTCACGATCACTTTTCGCCAGCGAAATCCTCACCTTCAACCCCTCTTTCTCCGCCAGTAACCTGTTGACCTCCCTCAGCATAGTTTTTGCGAAAAGCGCCGTCTCCAGAGTGTCCGCAGCGTGCAAGACCGGCAGTGTGAGAACACTCCAGCCAGCATCATTCCGTGAGGGACAAGCGTCGATATGCTGAGGACATGAAGCAGTATTCTTGATAGCAACTGCTCTCTCTCTATGTTTCTCCTTTCTCTTCTTGAAATTCGCTCTGTCCATCACTTCTTGCGCTATTCGGAGTGTTCTCCTTTGTTGCGCGCTGAGATAGATGGATTTGGGTACGTTGGTCGTGATATTCAAAGATTCGCCGGCGCCGGCCATAGCTTTGTCCATTGCGTTTTGTAGGCCGCGCAGCCTATCGATCTCATGGGTTTCCAGATGGCGGTTGTGAGGCTCGCAAAATGCTCGGATGTTGGTCAGGGGTAATTCGCGGGTACGTCTTGTGCCTGTTGGGATGGTGGCCATGTGCGGTGAGCATCCATCGTCGTCTCTCCTGATCTTCTTCCGCGTGTGCTGGTCGTTTACTGCGGCTATGTAGTTGCAAACCTCGCCCATTCCCGGGTGGGCCTTACGCTTCCTATCTACCGAGATCGGGCTCATAGTGTTGCGCGGGTAGTTCGGATTTGTGGAGTTTTGGTGTGTGAGAAACGACGTTGCACTTATCAGAGGGAATGTCGCTATTTATTAGGAGATTGAGGCATTGTGTATGTATTTTGGGAGTCGTGAGTCACTCGTCGTTTATGGGTCATGGCAGTACCATGGGGTAGAACCAAATCTCGAGATTCTCGCACACAGACTGTGAGTCACCCACAAGAGGGAAGATGTACTAAAGGCAGCTTTTACGAATACATGCCATCACAGCCAAAAGAGGGGTTGTGTTGAGTGCGGGCCTGAAGCATACGGTACCACGGAAATGCAGCTTGAAGTGTGTAAGACCCTTTGTACCTAGGGCCAATGCCTGAGCGTACATTACTTCCACAACCAACAGATCTGTCCGCGCAAGCACGATGATGGTTTACATTCAGCGCGCTGCCCAACACAACATACAGGGCATAGCAATCGATTTGTCTCGTCCCAGCTAAACGGAACACGTATTACGTGGATGTGCAGCCTAAATCTTTGCTAACCAAGCATCCCTGCGTTCTTTCATCTCTGGGCTTAACCCCTGGTACCACTGCCTATACTCGCTGAACAGACGATCCTGTTCCATGATTCTATGCCTTATTTTCTCGAGACCAAGCATCTTTCTTGGCTGGCCGCGATTTACTCCACTCTCGTGCACAAGGACTCTAGGCACGAAGATGAACTCGGTGGGGTGTTGCTGAGGCGGAGATGTCGCTGGCGTCGATCGGCTTGTATGCTGTATATTCTGAGTTGGCGGACGGGGTTGAGTTGGCGCATGTATCTGAGGCCGTTGCCCTCGAAGTCGTTGATTACGAGCTTGAGCCTTAGCCCGCCGCTTCACAGGCGACATTTCCGCCTTGATCTTCACAGCCGAGACCTGACTTCCCCAATTCTGTCTTTTCCACTGCATAAATGCCGTAAGCTTCTCCTGTGCTACTGCAATCGCAGTCTCTTGTTCTGGTGTCAAGCTCAGCTCGCTTGCGCGAAGGCTCCTCGCAATGTTGATGCAAGCCCCAAAACCAGATAGTGCAGCGTCGACTCTTTTCTGTGTCTTGAATATCGTCGCTCTTTCCTTTCGAGTATATCTTCTGTCTTGAGGGCCGCATAGTTTGAAGAGCCAGATATCAGGGGTCGGTGGACGAGTGGCAAGATTTGGATATTGGTTGGAATTATTTTCGCCAGTTTGGTGGTGTTTCGTTGTGGGTATGCTGACGGGCGCGGTGCCGGTTCTGCACAACAACTCTGGAGATTCTTCTTTGATGAAAGGCATAGTCTCCGCATCATCTGTGTATGCTCTCTCAACTTCCTCTTGCGTTGCCCCGGAATGAAGTTCGACTCTGCGCTCAACATCCCCGTCACCAACTCTTGTCCAACACCATCCCCCACCGGCATCTGCTTGCAACTCCCTCATCTCCTCCGTCAACTCCTGCTTTGGCAATGTTCTGGTACTGTCACTCATTGATGCGCTGCGTCCGATGTGAATGTTGGGGATGGTGCAGTTGCTGAAGTTCATAACTTGTTTACTACATGGTATGCGCGTTGCCATCGAGATAATCATGATAAGCGCATCCGCTAGAGGAACCGTGCACCACTGCCCCTTCAGCTCCTTCTGTGCAATGATTTACTTCTGTGCAATGATTTAGGTGGAAACCCCGCAAGATACCTGCACACGCACAAAGAACCAGTAAGAGTGAAAGACACGTGTTCAAAAGATTACTATACTAACGATTATAGTAAGCCAAAGTAAAGTCGCTAAAAGTTGAACAAATCGAGCGAAAATCGAGCGAAGGATTCAAAGCCGAAGAAAGGTAAGATGCTCAATAGGATTACAAGAATTCGTATCCGTTCCTTCGCCCTAAAAGGCGGGTTTGCCTGCGCCTTCAAATCGTGCCTTCCCAATCGTAACTTCCCATACCGCACCGCCCCGTTAACGCCAAAGCATCGCTAAGCGCCAGAAGAACAGGGAAAGAAGAAGATGTGAAGGGAGTTACCGAGGCGAGAAACGAATTGGATGGCGTTGCGACGTGACTCAAAGAAGATCGAGTGGAAGTCGAAGAGGTGAAGGTCGAAGTAAAAGGGTGGTTTCAGTGACCAGAGTCGCTCACGCGTCTCCTCCGCCCTCGACTACCGCCTTCAGGCCGCTGAGCAAGGACATCTCGAAGTTGCGGGTCGTCTTTATCTTTGTCAGTGTGGTGTACGCGTACATGTCTAGAAAATTTGTTAGCTCTGCACTGCAGAATTTCCACCTTGAATGCGTACCTCTGCAGGTTGTCCGGTCTCGGATATTTGTGTTCGCGATCGGGACAAAACGGGCATACGTAGCCAGGCGACTGATGCACAAGCCCGTGGCGTATCATCTCGTTCTTTCGTTTGAAGCCTTTGCCACCCTCGCCTCGAGGACAATCTTTGACAGGGCAATAGTGCGGGCGATTTGAGGAATGAACGTTGGTGTGTGAACTGAAGAGGTCAGCATGTTCGACCCTACGATACTGGGGAGACTCAAGTCTAGACTCACTTAAGAAGGTACTGCGTCTGGAAAGGTAGAGCGGTGCAGCCTGGATAATCGCACTTGAAGGATCCAACGATGTGCTGAGTCACACTTTGCTGTAGACCAGAGCCAAGCGGAGGTGGCAGGACTCTCGACGCAAGCGCGCCATCTAGACTCATATGTCGAGGTCTTTGCTCAATGGGTGTTTGCTGTGTGCCAGGGCTGATACCCTCCGAGCTCTGGTAGCTGTCGCTCGTCGATGCAGAGTGCAATGTCGCTGTGTAGGGACTGTTGTCTGACGCGGCGTGTGAAGGTCTCCGAGCATCCGTGCCGAATGCGCCTCCTCCTGAGGTGCGGAGGAACAGATCGACACGATGTGGTAAATCGTGGGCACTCATTGGCGATGACGCACTTAGCGAAGGGAACGGTGTGGCTGGAGAATGAGAACTCATGGACAGCTGGCGAACCATCGAGGTTGGTGACGCTCCTACCGAGGAAACCGATTGTCGATGGGGGAAGCTGATACTGTTTGCTCTCGTTGCTTCGTGGTCATTTGTTGCTGATCTCGCGATATCATCGATGTGACGAAACGAAGGTAGCTGCTGGCTAGGCGAAGTAGCTGCTCCATCACGTGCAGGAGATGGGGCTTGTAAGGCAGGCAGTGTGTCTGCTGGAAGTCCTCCCCTTTGCGGAATTGTTAGACCGAGAGATGGTGCTGGATCATTGCCTTGGGGATGGCCATTGGGCAAGCCTCGAGGTGGCTGGCTTGGTGGGTACAACGATGCGTTCGACAAGGCGGACGATATAGACAGTGTTCGATCGATTCCATTTGAACTGGGATGCACGCCGTTTGGTGCTACATGAACTGCTGAAGCTTGAGATGTGCGCCTATCTGCTGCAAATCCGAAAGGCCTAGTAGTTTCGTCTTCGATCACCGAGTCTCTGTGGGTAGCTGTCGCTTTTGAATCAGGTGCTGAGCTAAGCACTTCCTGCAGAGTAGGTGCTGAGTTGGCAGGACGAGCATTTGGTGGCACTGGCTGGCCATTTTTGGAGACGGACGGTGCCGTTGCCGTGCCGGGAGAGTCGACATCAGGCATGTCGTCATCCTCAGAGCAGTGCGAATCAGAGTCGGAGTTCAAGGCCTGCTCGCTTGCTTTTTGTGCAATGTCTGGCCGGTTTGGGTCCATCTCACGAATGAGCACCCAGTCCCCTTGGGTGGGGCGAGTTCGGGGCTTATGTTTGTTAGGCCTTTTCCGATTTCGAGATTGAGGAGGACTGACACTCTGTCGGTTGGGTAGGTGACGGATGACTGGTGTCACGTGTGGCTGCGGCGTCGGAGATGGTGTTGCCTTTACAACACGAGCTTCCAAGAGTGGTGATTTGGAGAAATGGTCGTCGTCCTGGTAGTATTCCACTGGTTCCACGGATTGGATGGCGTCGAGCACCTGCATCTGGACAGCAGATTCCGCGGTATAGGAAGATGGTTGTTAATTAGGTGGAATGAACTGGCGATTATCCCAACGACCGTTCAGCAAAGGCTCCCAGGGATAGGCCCAGGCGGCGGTGAAGAGAGCGGGTGGCACAGCAAGACCAGTCTTGAATCGCTGTCTGGAGGAGAGTCAGCATGACCATGGGCTGCATTCTTCTCGCAACGATGGAGGCGGAAAGTGCTGGGGCTGCGTGTCTGTGGGATGGTGACAGAAATGAGAAAAGCTGCGGTGCCGTCGGATGCGAGTTGGGCTAGAGGCGCTCGGGTCGAGCGACTGGGGCAGAGCAGGGGTAACAGTGTGGAAAAGACGGGTTGTTGGTCATCGGGGTGGGAATGCAGCGAGCAGAAGCATGAATCGCGAATTATATGTGGAGATATGATGCAAAGTAGCGACGCCAACGGTGAAGCGGCTCTGCGCGGTGGAAAACATACCCGAGGGTGCCAGTGCGACGGCTCTTTTTCAGCCTCAAGGCGGTGTCGAAGGGGCCTGCCGATCGCAAACATCAACTCGCGCAGGCGCAGATGGGACGGGCGTGCGGTCACGAATAGCATAGGGGTGGGTAGCAGTGTGCGAGCCTCGTCTGCCCTTACAGCATCGAGGAGGAGGATGGACGGCTGGCCTTGGAGGGACTGCGGCGGATGAGGAGGCTGACTTGCGGGGGCTTGTTGGCTGGACGGCCTTGATGCGGACGCTGGAACAGGCGGAAGTCGGGGTGCTAGGTCAGCGTGCGGGAGACAGCACGGGGTGGCAGGAATTGGGCAGCGAAGATGAGGGTTGTGTGTGCAAGTCAATAGATCCAGCCAAAGTCATTGTGCTGCCGTCGCGCCAGTCGCCGTCGCCCTCCCCCCAAGCTCCTGCGAGGCGCAGCCCCAGCTTACCTACAGCGCGCGAGGCTCTAATCCAATCCAGTTTTTATGAGGCTCCCACCGAAGTTTGCCATCCCCGCACCGAGGGCCGCTAGCTGCTCTGGGACCCCACAGGCCTCCAGGGCTCCAGAGCTACTCCACGGGGACCGAGCCCAGCCCCGCCTCTTTGCACGCCCAAGAACGAGAAGCCTCCATCGGCCCTATTGCGAACCTGCAGCTGCCCTAACACGAACTCAATAGCCTCCCGACGTCTCTGCTAATTCTTCCGCTGCGTGGCATTTGTCAGTGGGATACTCGCGGCACGACGTGCGTGCGGCGTCGTGCGTTGCCCTGCTGCGGCTTCACCTTCGCTTGCCCGGCCGCACTTGGATGGACCTCGACGCTTAGATTAACTGCCATGGGTAATCCTCCTGTTCTATCGACTACATGTGCATGCGTGTCCAGCGACAGCATGCACTGCATCCCTCTTCCCCTCTCCGCCCGCTGTCAAATGCCACCGACCGCCTATCGTACAGTCTTATGCTGCATGCGCTCTTGTCTACTACTGTGCCGCTGAGAAATGCTCTAACAGAAATGTGACAGACACGCCCACCCCCACAGTCACTGGCAACTGGCGAGTAAAAACATGCTCCTCGGTAGATCAACGCCCAAAAACAAATCGTGGCTGATAAAGCTGTTGTTGGCGCCAGAAACGGTATCCCACCCATAAATCGTCCAATCCCGTTTTATCCTCGCCCGCAATAACGCACATCGGCTAAGCACGTGCATGCCGCCATCACGCTTCCGGCTTCTTGCCAAATCCAGGGATTCCACTAAACCTGGTGCCAGCGGGGAGCTTGGGTCGACCAAAGTTCTCGTCGAGATCGAGAATCACCTTGAGCGCGTTGCGGCTGCGCAGGTACGGCAGCGGTGCCGTCGCCTCTTCAAGGCCGACGGATGGCTCCAAGCTTGCCGAATCGTGGCTAGAGCCCGGCATCGGGAGAGCTGCGGACATGTCAGTGGCCCATTGGCGCATCACATTGCGGTGCAAGACTTACCTCGCTGTAGAACCTCATAGCCAGCCAGTGTGAAACCGAATTGTGGTGACGAGCGCATGATACGGGCGGGACCACCCTTGAAGAAGGCCTTGAAGCCTTCCTCCTTCCAGATGGTCGACGCTGCGTGGCGCAGGCCAGTGTATGCAACTTCGCCCTTGCGCGCCTCTACTTGTAACCTAGTCTTGATCACGTCGCACGGTGTGGTCAGGTACGCTGCAGGCATACCCGCGATGGCACCAGCGCTCAGCATTTGCAGGACACCGAGCGACTTTTGCGGGCTCTCGCCGAAGACGTCTCTCTTCAGATGGCTGTAGGTGGGGAAGTAGATGGCAGAAAAGGGGACTGTGCAGGCGGTCAGCGATATCCGGAGGGTGTGAAAGAGCAGAACATACCGTCACGCAGGAGACATGCGCTAGCTCCCTTGTAGAGACCGACGAGACCCAAGTTGCGGACGATCCACATGGCAGACCGCCTGGGAACACCCTCGACGTTCTTGGACAGTTCACCCTGAATTTGTAACCGAATCTTGACAATCTCGAGAGGGTTTGTGAAAACCTATAATAGTGTGTTAGTACTTGCTGCCAATAGAGGAAGTGCAAGTAGGTAGTAACTCACAACTTGGCAAGCACCCGCAGTTCCACCCGCCAACATCTCGTGGGGGAACTTGATTTGGCCTGTTGACTTGTCGGTCATCTTGCCACGAACAAGATCGTTGACCGTGAGCTTGATAGCCTTCTCGGGCGCAACACCAACAAGCTGGGGCAGGACTCCAGAGTAGAGACCCTTGAATCCCTCGTTCTTGATGACCTTCTTTGCGCAGTCGAGCGAGTTCTTGTACAGGACGTGCCCGACGCCTGAGCTCCTCTGGTTCTGCATTCTTGTCTTGACCAGATCGATGGGGTAGACCATGAAGGCACCGAACGCACCAGCCAACGAACCGAGAGCGAAGTGGTGGACCGACTCTAGAATGTCGTGCCATATCGATTTTGTGGTCGCAAAGACCTTTTGCCCAGACTCGGAGATACCCTGAGCTGCCAACGATCCTACCCTGTGCCAGGACGGGTCGAGCACGCGGGCAAAGTCTCGTAGACCAAGTCGCCCAGACGCCTCGTCGAGGCCGGCGAAGTGGAAGAGAATGTCTGCCTCCATGGGTGTGTAGAGGTTGAAGCGACTTATCCGGGCGGCCTCGTTGAGGAAATCTGTGCGGGTGATCTTGCCGTCGGAGCTCTTCTGTGTGGCATTGCGGATGATAAGCTCTATCATGTCCATCTGCTGGATGACGTTCTGGAAGGCGCGCACGTTGGCGTAGGAGATCTTGCTGCCAACCGAGATGTTGCAGAGGGTGGGCAGGTTCTCGAGCAGGTAGTCGGAAAGCTTGTGGCTCGCAGTCTCGCGTATTATGCGCTGGAAATGCTCTGGCTCGATGAAGCCGTCCTTGTTCTTGTCAAAGAAGGTGAAGCCCTGACGTACCCGCTCGCCCTGCAGCCCTCGCAGCAGCTGGGCGAACTGCGGGTAGGTCATCGTGTGCCTGTGCTTCTTGGAACCGATGTACAGCGAGGCCCAGCCGCCCTCCCAGTCGAAGGGCAGGCTGTCCTCGGTCTTGTGCGCCTTCCATGTCTCGTAGAAGTCGTCAAAGTTGATGTAGCCGGTGCGCTGCTTGTCGAAGAAGCGGAAGACGACCTCGTACTCGGCGTCGGGTTTGGCGAGCAGGTTCTGGAAGACGGACCAGTCGTGCATGCTGACCTTGCCCTTCTGGTCGCGGTCGGCGACCTGGAAGAGGATGCCATACTGGAACCGCTTGATCTTGTGCTGGAGGCGGGCACGTCATTAGCTTGCTTGACTCGACACATTGCAGACAGCCCTGCTTACGAAGTCCTCGCCCTCGGGCGCGACAGCCGTGATGAACTGGTCCTGGTCGAGGTAGTAGTCGCCTGACTCGTCCTTCTGGGCGTGCTTCATAAAGGCGGCGCGCGTGAGCTGCGACAGCTGGGGCTCGTCGGTGGTG